GCTGGGCTGGGGATGCTTGGGAGCTGGGCTTGGGATGCTTGGGAGCTGGGCTGGGGACGCAAGGAGCTGGGCTGGGGATGTACGGGAGCTGGGCTGGGGATGCAGGGAGCTGGGCTGGGGATGCAGGGAGCTGGGATGGGGATGTACGGGAGCTGGGCTGGGGATGCACAGAGCTGGGCTTGAGATGCTTGGGAGCTGGGCTGGGGATGCAGGGAGCTGGGCGGAGCTGGGCTGGGGATGCAGGGAGCTGGGCTGGGGATGTACGGGAGGTGGGCTGGGGACGCACGGGAGCTGGGCTGGGGACTCAGGGAGCTGGGCTGGGGATGCAGGGAGCTGGGCTGGGGATGTACGGGAGCTTGCCTGGGGATGCACAGAGCTGGGTTTGGGATGCTTGGGAGCTGGGCTGGGGACGCACGGGAGCTGGGCTGGGGACGTAGGGAGCTGGGCTGGGGATGCAGGGAGCTGGGCTGGGGATGCACAGAGCTGGGCTGGGGATGTACGGGAGCTGGGCTGGGGATGCACAGGGCTGGGCTGGGGATGCTTGGGAGCTGGGCTTGGGATGCTTGGGAGCTGGGCTGGGGACGCACAGGGCTGGGCCTCACACCAGCTGAGCGACCTTCCATAGTGTCAGAAGTCCGGTCTGGGCTGAGGGCATGCGCAGCATGGAAGGCCACGGGCCCAGTGCTGGCTGGGAGGATGGGCGGAGGGACAGGGTAGGAGGAAGGGAGAGGAAGGACCGTCTGGGGACAGGAAGCCAACACCACGTCTCTGACTACAGAGTCCCCCGGGCCAGGTGGTGTCTGTGAACACGCACGAACTAAAGAAAATTCAAGTTCTCAATGTAGATGTAAAAACATCTCAGTCCATGTGTATTTTGGCTCATGTTAATTTTTGTAACTAAGTAGAAGGATTTTGTGTTTGACATAAGACAAATGTCTTTAACATGAAAATCACTGCATCCCTTAAAATCTTCATGCTCAGTAAAAATGTTAAGTATAAAGAAGGTTTGACTCTTAATGCATTTGTGTCCTTATCTGAATCCCAGTTCTGTTTCCTGGGGGTGGGAATTTGGGATGGGCAGAGGAGGAGGTTGCAGGAAATGGTGGCCTCCTTGTCCGTGGGTCACCCGTAGACACACCGCCTGTCCACATTTCAAGCACTGTTTCCCCTGCTCATTCCTGGACCTCTGAGCCAACCTGGGGATGGGACCGAGCGCGGGGGATCAGCGACAAGGGATGCCGCCGCGGACCGGGGAGGACCATTACCATGAGCACGCCGAAGGACCACCAGTCAGCGCTCTGCGTGTGTCCCCGCCGGTTCACCACCTCAGGCGCCATGTACTCTATCGTCCCGCAGAATGAGTAAGCTCTCTTGTCGTGGTCGATGGCCTCCTTACTCAGCCCAAAATCTGAAAGTGAAACAGCACACGGCACTGCCTCAGTCGGAGAGGCACCAGGACTGTTTCCACGCTGACCCCCAACCCGCGAGCTTCCGCGTCATTTATGGGACTTCAACCTGCTCTGTCCTGGCCACAGCACCCCCCTCGGATGCAAGTGTCCTCACGGCCCCGCATGGTACGTTCCCCAGCTCAAGGTCTTCCAGGCATCTACAAAGCCCGGAGGGGCCCGGTAACAGTATCGAGAAGATGTATTTTGCCGAGACTGAGGAGAAGTCCCGGGAGCCCTGCTGTTTAAGAGGCACAGCAGGTGGCCCGGGCATGCTGATGCTGCAGGTCCCCGGGCTGGGATGGACGGCCAGCCGGAGCTGCTGGGATGAGATGGGAGGGGAGGGGTAGCCCTGAAGAAAAGGGCTGGAAGAGAGGTCCGGGCAGAAGGCTACTGGGGAAGGAGGTCCCTGGCGGTGAGGCATGAAGGGAAGACAGGCGAGTCTGATAAGGACTGTGGAGCGTTTGCCGTGAGTGCTTCCCCTCTCCCTCCTCCAAGAAATCCTCAGTCCATTCTACCTTCTTCCAAAGCTTGTGTGTTCATGCACTTAGTGGCTGAAGGACACAGGGAACACATTGCTTCTAAGATGAGGGCACCCCTTCAGTTTCAGCATGTTTGAAAAGAAGGATAATATCCATCAGTTCCTTCCAGGGCCACGTGCTGAGTGAGAACATCAAACACCCACGGGTGGGTTTGCTCACTCGCAGCAAAGTGGCTTGCTTTACACATCAGAGTCTGGGAGGGGGCTGTCTGTAATCTGTGCCTGGCCCAAATGGCAAATTATCACATATTATGAACTTGGGGTCATGATTAATAATAGTAATAATAATAATAGAATCTATGATTATTAAATCAGAGAAAGCCCAAACTGTGTCATGTTAAAGAAAAATTGGATGTGGTAGCTCCATATGCATTCCAGCTGCCAGGCACTAGGCACAAGCATGACTTTTATAGGATACGTTCAGTTCCTCATTTGGCAGAGAACACATCTGAAGTATTAACAGAATCTTAAATCGCCACCGCATGCCATGTGACGCTGATGGCATGACATTACAGGCCAGGAACGGGTGGGCTGAAGGTTCGCTGAAAGGGATAATCAGGGTCTGGTATATGAGTTCACGAGAACTTTTAAAAATCGAACTTTGAACATTAACAAGCCTGTAAAAATATTTAACCAATATTTATTGCCAGTTACTATGTGCATTCCGCCAAGTCCTGGGGATCCACGAAGACAGGGTAAACCCACCCTTGAGAAGACAGGGCGTGGTGGGATGCAGGCCAGCAAGTGAGCGGCAGCGTGACCACATGGGGGCCACAGAGTAGGGAAGAAGGGGTGCTGAGAGAAGCTTTGAGGTAAGAACAGGGGTTGGCCAGGCACCCTGAGCAGGGACAAGCTTCTAGGGGAGGAGAGTGTTAGTTCAGGAAGAGCGAACTGGTGGACACGCAGGAATGGGCATGTATGGACATGAGGCAGAACCAGGTCAGCAGGGCAGCTGATGGGGGATTGGCCCCCAGAGATGCCCACACCCAGAGCCCCAGAACCTGTGAGCAGGTCACCTCACAGGTCAAAGGGGTCCTGCAGGAGTGATGAGCCAAGGATCGTGAGATGGGGTGGTTGTCCTGGATTATCCAGGTGGGCTGGGTGACACAAGCGCCCTTATGTGGATTTGGGGGCAGAGCCACAGAGTTTAGGGAAGGCCGTGCTGCTGGCCGTGAAGACGGAGGATGGGGCCACAAGCTGAGGGATGTCAGCAGCTCCTAGAAGCTGGAGAAGGCAGCAGAGTGGGCTCTCTGGAGCCTCCCGAACGATAAGATGAGCAGGTGTGCTATCGGAAGCCACGCAGTCTGTGGTGACTATGACACCAGGAGGAAATGACACAATGCGTGCCATGGAACTGGGGTGTGTGTTTTCAGGCTGCTCTAACTGGGTGGCAACGGGAGAGGCGTGAGGTTTCAGTAGGAAGGCAGGCTCCCATGTGCATTCGTATGTGGTCCCTGAAGGCAGGAGGGGGCCAGAGTGTGGGGACGTGCTCCCGGGAGAGCACCGATATTTGCCCCACATCAGTACTGCGCATCATCGTTCTTGAACAAACAGCCAGGGATGCGAGTCTGCAGGGAAGGTGCTGGAAGGTTCTTTGGTCAGGAGAGAGGGAAGGAAGGGGACCTGGAAAGTTTGAGCATTTCTAGAGGCTGTGAGGACGCACACCAATGTAACATAAGTGAGCTCTATGAAAGCTTCAGCCAAATCAGGGACACCACCAGCAAATGCCGGTGCTAGGAGGGCTTTGGCTCTGAGCTGCTCCCCACATTTACCAGGGCCGAGGTGAAGTCACCGGGAGACTGCCGTCCTCTACAAACCTGTGATCTTGATGTGTCCCTCTTCATCCAGCAGGATGCTGAAAGAGAGCGGAGAACACAGATGCTTTACCAGAGGCCTGCTCAGCGGGGGAGCGTGCAGACCTCGGGGGGCACAGCAGGGCGGCCTGGCCAGGAGTCCCCACGCGGGGGTCGCCTGCCACGTGCAGATGTGGGCTCCGGGATTTACTGCTTCTGCAGTCAGCAGCTTCTGCTGGGTCACGAGTGGATTCAGATCCATAGTGTTTGGGGTTAACCAGGCAAAAGCTGGGACCTGCAGGTCCGAGACTTTCTTTAGCCCACAGGAAGGTTCAGGAACCCTTCAGACCATCCTGCATGAAGAACGTGATTGGGAGGGTCCGGGATTGTCTTGGACTGTGGAGATCTGGACCCTCTTGAATTTTTCCCTATCCAGGCAGGCCCTCAACGGCCAGAGGCCCACTATTTCTCCCCATCACCCCTCCATGAGCCCCACCCTGCCTCGGGATGCCTGGGGCCTCAGCGTCAAGGAGGCTTGGGGCTCAGCAGGTTGCACCTTGTCACAGGTGCTATCCCACCGGGTGCCTTTGCCCCACCAGTGCCTGACACCTGGAGCACCAGCCCAGAGGGAGCATCGGCCTTGCTCTTCCAAGCTCTGCCGGGGGAAGGGTGCTCCTCACTGCAGGGCAGAGGGTGGGCCGCAAGGGAGGACGCAGGCCAGCACTTGAGGAAGCCCTTCTTCCAGGCCGTCAGCCCTCGGGGTTCCCCAGGGCTCCTAGTCTTCCATTTCTTTCTTTCTTTCTTTCTTTTTTTGCTGTAATTAAATCCTGTCCTGTCAGCTCCTGGGAGGTAGCAGCCCAGCCTTAAAGAGACCAGGAAGAGAATGGCGAGGAACCAAAGCAAGGCCTTGAGGATTCATAGGGGCTGCCTTAACAGGCAGGGAGAGTAGTGGCGTCCTGACCCACGCGAGCGCATGGATGGATCTGCGGACAAGGAGCTGAGTGCAGTGAACCAGGCAGCACAGAGGAAACGTACATTCCACTTATAAGGGGAACCTAGAGCAGTCAGATGCACAGAGGCAGACGGTAGAGGGTGCCGGGGGCTGGGCAGGGGAGGTGCAGCGGGGAGTGGGCGTCTCACGGGGACAGAGTTTCAGTTTTGCAAGGTGCAGAGAGTTCGGAAGATGGCCAGAGCTGGCGGCTGCACGGAGCTGGGAGTGTGGGCACCGCCAGAGGGCTGCACACTTACAAAGGGCGAAGATGCTCATTTCTACTGTTTTTCTTTCCACAGTTAAAAAAATCTGCCATGGGATTAAAAAAAAAAGACCCACTATTTTATTGAAATGTGAAGGAAAATGTTACAGCGCATCATTAAGATGACAGTTTATCATGAAAGAGGTGAAAGTTTTCGTCTTTGGTTTTCAGTTATACTTAATCTTTGCCCGGAAATGAGCAGCTTTCGAGATTAATCCCCTACTATTTGACAACAAAATCTTCTTTCTTCAACTCTGTGGTTAAATATTACTATTTTAAACTGTAAAGATCCCTTTGACCTTTAAAGAGAGAGAGAAGCAGGGTGCATGCCCTGACGGGCACCCGGGGCTCACGGCTTTGAGATCTGCCTCACGTGACCGCTTGCTGAGGGAGGCAGCTGTACTTAATAGGATACTGTTCTCTCTGTGGGGACGCTGACGACAGGGCCTTCTGCAATTATTTAGACATTTATTGAGGTGTGCAGCCTGTGATGTTCGACTGGAGCGAGCTACTGTAGGTTGTTACGTCAAAGCCATGCAAGATGTGAGCGTCCCGCTGGTGTGGGACAAATGGACTTTGCATCCCGTATGGACACAACGTTGCTCAGACGTCTCCCATAAAAGACCACCACATCCAATAAAAATGGCAGCAGAGAAGAGCTGTCTTTTCCTCAGCTCAGTGTTGATGAGAGAGGAAAGGCCAAGGAGCATGGGCTGGAGGCCTGCTTCCTGAGCCCTCGGCAATGAGTCAGCCCACGGCTATGGGCTGCCTTCTGCCCAAAGCTGGTGGGTCCCACCAGGCTCTACCACGGGCAGTTGTGGACCTTGGCCTCGGTGCGTGGAACCGAACGGTCTCACGGGGCAGTGAATACTGAGTGAGAAAATCAGTGACTTTGCCTTGGGGACTACGGTCAGGCGGTCCTCCTGAACCTAAAATAGCATCCACTAGATCGATCCTTCTTCATGTGGGCCACTGCTATGTGTCAGGTCTACACAGAATATAAGAAAAAAGCCTGAAACGGAAACTGTGATTTTGGAGGGACTTTAATCTTTCAATTGAGGATAGCTAAAATATCCTAAAATATTATAGATGATCTTTGCCGAAGGCATGCAAAATCTCATCGGAAGAGCTGGGGAAACTGGCGCTACTGTCTTTCAGAAAAACTCTCTGAAAGGCTCATCTGACTTGCCACCTGGAAATGGCCTGTCGGAGTCGTGGAGGCTTCCTGGCTCTGCAGGCGACGGCCCAGAAGGGACTGGAGTGGAAGAGGCAAGCTAGTGTCGAGGTGCACGTCTGAGGAGTTCCCCACGGCGGGAGAGGGGGCAGCTGTGCGGCAGGAACCCCCTCCCTGCCCAGCCTTACCCGAACAGCAGGGACAGGGGCCCCGGCCTGGCCTCCCCCAGAGCGTTGTTACGAGGATCAGGTGAGAGGTGCTGCTAGGAGCGGCAGGTACCGATCAGCATCAGCCACGCCCGTTTGGGCACGGTGTCAGGGGCGGGCAGGTGGAACCCGCATGGGGGGGTGCCCGCAGGAGGATGGCCCCAGCCTACTCCCTGCTGTGCACCCACGTGGGAATCAGAGCCGCGGCTCCGCACAGGGGCAGCAAGAAGGGCGGTGTGGGGGCAGCGTCCTACCACGTCCTCACTTACTTCTCAGGCTTCAGGTCTCTGTAGATGATCCCCAGGCCGTGGAGGTGGTCTAAAGCCAGGGCCAGCTCAGCCAGGTAGAACTTGACATCCTCCTCGGTGAACATCACCTAGGAAGTGAGAACAAGATTGTTGGGCGTATTCTGTGGCTGGTTTGTTTTGAAGAACTCTGCCAGAGAACATCATGAGTCAGCCCTGCAAAGTGCGCTCGGCTCAGTTCTGCTCTGTGGAAGATCATAGGCTCCCCCCGGCACCCCACCTCCCCGGTAACGCTCTGCTGGCTCTCACAATGGAAAAATGAGCTCTCTTTCTAGTCTGGAGATCAGTGAAGGCAGAAGAGCAGTTCCCTACAAAGATGGTTAATTAGCCCGTAAGTGGGCACTTAGTCTCCTACTCTTCTTTGCCTCCAGGAATCATGTAGCTATGGGCTTGATATTTTAATACGAGCGGTTCGGATGTGAAGCGACACCCCCAAGGGCTGAGGAAGGGCTACTGAGAACATGTCCAGGATCTCAACCCCACTCCCTTCCATAGACCCAAAGTGGGCCGAGTTCTACCAAAACCAACATGTACGGGGCTTAGAGTCAGCAGGGCACCTGGGCCGGGGTGGGACCGTGGGCGTCAGGGTGCACGAGTCAGGCATCTTGGTTCGGGCGAGCTGAAGCACTCGCCAGGCCAAGCGCCCAGCACCCTTCGAAACCATCGTCTGGGGCACGTTTCCGTACCTCCCATGCTTGTTAGAATCAGTGTGTGATATTTAAAGTCACCCTCTAGAAAGACAGATTTGTTATCACAAACCAGTTTTTACATTCACCATGAGAAATCAGTGTCACCGACACTGGAATTGTATGTGATGACTGAACTCTCTCTCTGAACACAGACATAGGAAGACTCAGTACAGACTCAGCAGGCTGCCTGGGATGCACAGAGTTAGAATAAGGGCCGTTTGGGGAGAGGATGGTGAGCACATCAGGCTGGCGCAGGTGGGGCCCATCCATTCCCCAGAAGGGGCACTTCCCGTCGGGGCCGTCGGGGCCGGGACTCACGCCCTGTGGTCCTGGGCAGTCACCTCTGGGAGCTGTCAACCCTCATGGCCCTTCTGGCCTTTGGAACCTCCTGTTCTATCTCCCGTGCTCGACAGGCGCCCTTCCTGGCTGGGCGTTTCTTTTCTAAATTGGTCAACATCGTCTGTGGGCTAACGTTTAGTCCGATTCCGCTAGCTGGCATATTCTCTTGAATCTGGCTTTTTCTCTCTGGATAACCACCATGGCTTGTCTGCAGGTCCGTGCTCAGAGTGCAACCGTATTTATCCACTTGTCCAGTTCTTAGGGCAAATCTCAGGATAGTCCCCAAGTCCAAGTGACAAAGAGTGTCTGTGCAGAAGCGAAACACCCCACGAGGTGCGTCCTTGAAGGAAGTCAGGACGGTGACCCACACACGGCAGAATGCTGTCCAACAGCCTTGCTGAAAGAGAGGACGGGAGGATACTGTCCCACGTTGTTTCTGAGAATCTGCTGTGCCCACACTTGACGACTTTACCTTTATTCTGAAATAAAGGTGTCGGGGGGACACGCGTTCCCCTTGGGAGCTCATACAGGGCTTTTTGCTAACTACTGCTGCCGTTTGGTCAAGAAGCCCGTGACAGGGTGTGTCGTGCCAGACGCTGGACAAAACCAAACCCCACGTGGTCTGGGAGGGTAAAGGAAATCAGTACTTAGCAGGCGGGAGACTGGCAGACGCCAGTAGTTCCGCCCTCTGAGAACATGTGAGCACAAGCAGGGACCAGACAGACACCTGCTCCAGAACGGCTGGTCCTGGAAGTGGGATCCGAGTCCTCCGGCCCCGGGCTTTCAGCCTGTATAAAAGGTGCCCACTGTACCAGCTGTGCGTTGTCTGAGGGACCCTTAAAAACCGGAGGGAGAGAGAGGCCCGCAGGCCCTGGGACCTCCCTCCTGCTCCACTTCGATCTGTTGCTCACTTTGGAGGTACAGGAAGGACTGAAGGGTCTCCTGGCCAAAAAGTGGGAGGGAGAGAGAAGGGCAGAGGGCTGTCTGAACACACCGGCCCAGTTAAATCACCCCGGAGCGACTGGAGACCTGGGCGAGGTGCCATCCGACGCGCGGCTGCCTTCATCACCGTCAGCTCCGTGTGAAGGAACTGCTCAGGGCCGCTGGGATTTAAGCCCAGTGCTGTTGTCGCCTCAGGCAGAAAGAAGGCTGGTTTTGTCCACGCCATGAAGCAGAGAGCTCTTCACATCAATTAGGGACCAGAGAGCTGTCATGTTGCCTTGGGTGACATTCCGGAAAATTCCCACATCAGGACTATGGGGTCAAGGACAAGCCCTGGGCTTGAAGCCGTCACGGAGACCTCCCCTCCCATGGGAAGACCCGACTAGATGCTCCAGAAGCACCTCCCCGGATGTGTGGGCAGCGTGCTCACAGCACCTTCCCACGACGGAAGGTGAGATACTGGGAAACAGTCCCCCAGCTGCGACTCTAAACCCACCTCTGCTTTCGTCTGCACCCCACAGGGGTCGGCGCGCTTCCCGGCGCCCAGAAGCACCTGTTTGTTTACGATCTTTCAAGTTCAACAGATCGCTTCTCCGTATCACTTGTGTGATTTCTTTAAAACAGATGCACACACTCATGCACATACACACACATATTCACGTGCACACACATCCCACGCACACCATGTAAGCCCCACAGCGCACACACTCACAGCACGCACACCACACACACACACACTCTCACACACACTCAGCATACACACTGACACTTGCACACACTCTCATACATACTGACAGCACACCATTTGCACACGCTCACAGCACACGTATCACACACACGCACACTCTCACACATACTGACAGCATTCACACCATTTGTACACAACTTTAGCACGCACACCACACACAGGCCTCCCTCGAGAGCTCGCCAGCCCTCTTTGCCCCACATACCTCTTTGGAGAGCCTGCTGAAGAGGTCCCCTCCCCGCAGGAAGTCCAGGATCAGGTAGAGCTTTCCTTCCGTCTGAAAGGCTGCGGAAGGAGGGAGGGTTGGCATCCCGGGGGGTCCCAGAACACGAGCAGGCTGCAGTGCCGTACATTCCAGAAACAGGCCTGGAGCCGGCGTGGGGTGGGGGCTTGTTGGGGCAGAACTCCAGGAGAGGGTTGGCAGGAATGAGTCTGTCTGTGTCCCCCACTTTTATTAAGAGTCTAGAGGGTCACCTCTCTTCTTTTCTTCTCCTCTTCTTTGGTCCCCCCTTCCTTTTTTAATCACAGAGGGGATGGAAAATACATGGAGGCCCATATCTGCAGGTTCCAACCTGCTCTCACTATCACCACTACGCATGCTGGGCTCTGGGCACCACGGTGAGGTGTTTGGTGAGGAGCCGGATGATGACTCTGACCCGGTGTGGGCAAGCCTCCTTTCCCTCATGGAGCTGCATTCTATACAGCTCCAGGTCAGGGCAATCCATCATTTGACCCCTTCTTTCATGGAGGTGTTTGGTGACCGGCCCCATGCATCGTACATCATGGCAAATGGGGCGCATGTTCTAGGTTTGATCACCGTGAACTATGATTATGGGCCTGCTGTTTATACTTCCGGTCTTGCCCACCATTTAGCCAGGTGTGCCTTGCTCCAAAGGGGGCTGAGTGTGCATGTGAGGGTCAAGAGAAACCAATCACCCTTGACTCTTGATTCTCAGTTCGATGTGATTGATGATCTATCACTTGGCATCTATCTGACATACCTAGGAAGTGTGGCTGCAGGGGGTCCTGATATCCCTGCTTACTTGAAAACTTTTTATTTTCTAAAAGAAAATACTAGAAACATGATACATGTTAGGGTTTCAGAAACAGATAGGCTCTCACTAAAAAATCCTTGTCAGAATCATGTAAAGTGAAGTATGGATTCAATCCTCTCTCCTAGGGCTTGACCGGCAGAAGGAGAACAAGTATCTTTTGATCAGCCACAGAGCTGACATGGAAGACACATTTAGAAATCCTTGAAAGATGCTGGTTCTTCTTCAGAGAACTCCCTGGAAACCAGCTGAAGTGACACATGGGACTGGATCTGACAGCAGCGACTGTGGTGGCACAGGCAGCCGTGAGATGGGGAGTCGGGTCAGCCTCCCTGGGTGGCTGCAGGACAGAGCTTGGGCACCTGCCTGCAGCCACCGAGCCTTCCAGCAAATTCACAGCCACCGTCACTCCTACTGGCTTTGAAAGCATAAGCCACACACTTTCTACACAAGACTGAAATGTTTTCTGAGAAATATCAGAAAGTAACCAGCAAAGAGTGAGAAGCCTCTGCCCTCCGACCTCTGAGCATGGCTTACACCTTTGCTTCAACCCGATTCGTGGAAAAATGTCTCGGACAACCCCCACACCCGGCGCCTTTGAAACCAACAAGGTAGGGTTTTGTTTTTTTTTCCTGTATTTCCTTCATATTAATTATTCGGTAGGGCAGTAGCGTTAATGCCATCTGGCGCCTCTCGTTCATTATTTTTAGTTTGAAGATTTCACTTACTGCTTCCCCAAGGAGGGAAACGATAGAAAGTGAACTCAGAGGAGTTTGTGGGCGCTGCACACATGTGGCCACAAGAATCACTATTATTTGATTGTGTCTCATTTCTCTTCCAGGAAACAGAAACAGTAACCTCCCTTGAAAGAAAGTTTTGAGGGCTCAATGAGCTACTCTCTTTAAAATGCTTGAAACATAGTATTCACTTAAAATAGAGAAGGTGATGCCATTCTGGTTAAAGAAATTACTGGGTCATAAAGCATTTTCTTCTAAAACAACACAAAAATATGTCACAGATTCACCCCAATCTAGGCCAAGAGACCTTTTATTTATTTTTTTTACTACTTTATCAATGATGATAGTTTAATTAGTAACAAAGTACAGCCCCTCACTTTAGTCTCTGGTTAAAACAGGACATCTTGCTCCCTCAGAGTGGAAAAATGCAGAAGAGATCATGGGGCTGCAGAGGGAAGACAGCCCCACACCCTACAGGCCAGGCCCCATGACAGGGAGGGCTCTTCTCCTGACCTAGTGTTGTTTCATTTTCCTTGGATTTGGGGAAGGTTGCTTAGGTCCTCTCAAAAGTAGATTATGTTTTACTCTATTTACCATAATGAAGCTTTACAATGAAAGGGTGATTCACTTCTGCCAAAATGTCTCTCTCCATCTTCGACCTGACTCGGTCCCGAACTGCAAAACAGAAAAACAAAGGCTTTCAGGAGGCAGAAATGGGGTTCTAGAGAACAGGGAACATAAAACATTAGCTACAAATAACATCCCCCAATGTTTTGTTACAACAATTTTCGAGCAGACACAAAAATTGAAACAGTAGGATAATGATCACCCTTAAATCGTCCACCTAGAGTCAACAGCTGTGGGCTTTCTGATACACACGCTTTCCTTCTGGGTCTTTCTCTGTCTCTGTGTGTCTCTCTCTTCACACAGACATGCATTGTAGCCAAAACTCTGACACAAAATCATGGACACCGTGACACTTGACTCCTAGCTGTGTTTGCAGGCAGCATTTCCTAGGAGTAAGGACAGTCTCTTACAGAAGCCCTGAGACATCCGTCACCTCTAGGAAATTAACAATCATTCCACAATGTCATCTAATACCCAATCCATGGTCAACACCCCCCACCATGTCATTTACAGCTGTTAGTTTTCCCAGTGTGGGAGCCAGTCAAGGTTCACACATTACATTTGATTGTTATATTTCTTTATTCTAGAATAGAATGGCCCCACAGTTTGGGTTGTTTTTTTGTTTTGTTTTGTTTTGTTTTCATATTTTGTGGACTTTTTGGTCAGGCCAGGCCGGTTTCTTGTAGATTGTTCCGTATTCTCGGTTTGTCTGATTGTTGCTTAACTGGTGGCTCTAAGTTCTTTATTTCTCTCAAACTGAGGCTAGGTCTGGAGGCTTTATAAGATTGAGGCTAAACATTCTCAGCAAATGGTGGAGCTGTGTACCTCTGATTGCAGCAGGTGGGCTGTGCATGCTGCGGGACCCTCTCTAGGTGATGCTAAATTTGATGATGTGATTAAAGTGACAAGTCATCAGTCTCTTACTGTAAAGACCTGCATGTCCCTTTGTAAGTAATAAGTAACCTGCAGGGTGGTATTTGATAGAGAAGGTGATGCCATTCTGGTTAAAGAAATTACTGGGTCATAGAGCATTTTCTTCTAAAACAAGTGAGCCATGGGCCCCTAACACTCCTTCATCCATGAGTGTTAGCATATGCATATGAATGATCCTTGCTTGAGTCATTTAGGGCTGCAAAATGGGGATCTTCTCATTTCTGACGAACTGGAAATCAAGAGGAAGATTGCTTCTTTCTGTCCCTGAGGATAAGTAGGCATCAGGGATTTTTTTAAAAATTAGTGTGTTTTAACCAATTACATCATTATTCTTTTTGATGCTGACATTGTCCAAAATGTAGCCATCTGGGAATACAGATGGAATTAGTTTTAAGGCAAAAATAAACAAGCCAAATAGGATCACTGCTTGAGAATAAGAATAACCCCAAGATTCCCATAAGCAAATTGATTCACCAAGGGCAATGACTTCGTACCACCCCACGTGAGCAGAGGGAGAAAATCTTCAATATTCCCACCAGGGACCAGTATAAATATTGTGTTACTGGACCAGGCATTTAATCCATCCATACTTTGGCTTTGTGATATGTACTTTTAAAGTTTTATTTGAGAAATGCTTCCCAAAGAATGACTGTAATAAAAACAAAGGGGGAAATGACAAGCATTGGGGAGGATGGAGCAAGAAGTCGGAACACTTGTGCAGAAGCTGGTCGAACGTAGGATGGCGTGGTCTCTGGAAAAGTGCCTGCTCCTCAAACAGTTAAACACAGAACTGCGATGTGACCCAGCCATTCCACTCCTAGGTTTACATCCCAAAGAACTGAAGACAGGGCCTCACACAGGTCCCTGCACACCCATGTTCACAGCCTCATCACTCACAGCAGCCACAGGTGGGAAGAACCCGAGCGTCTGTCAACGATGAACAGATAAACACAGTGTGCTCTATCTGGACAGTGCGTGTTATTTCTCCTTAAAAAGTAATAGAATCCTGACGCATGCCACAGCATGGAGGAGCCCTGAACACATTATACGGAGTGAAGCAAGCCAGACACAAAAGAACAAATACTGGATGACTCTATTTACGTGAGGTCCCTCCAGCCGTCAAACTGCTGGAGACACAGGGGGATGGGAGGGAGCCGGGGGCTGGCGGAGGGGCAGCGGACAGAGCTTCTGTTTGCGGGGCTAGCAAAGTTTAGGGTCTAGATAGTGGTGACGGTGATGCAGTACTGGGGATGGATGTAATGCCGCTTACAAATGGTGAAAATGGTCCACACTGTGTGACGTGCATTCTCTCACACTTAGAGAAAAAAGAAGTCCTTCTTCACTGCTGGTCGCAGGACAGCCTCCTACCTTCTGCTCTGTTAATGCTGGCTTCACTTTTGCTTCGAGTACTCACGTTCTCTGGAGCCCCCCTTTGCTCCGGGGCCGGGGCCGTGCACGCCCCCCCTACCTGCTGGGGCAGGGTAGCCCGCCGGCGAGCCGCGGCCCTGAGCACACATGCTGGCTCTGTTGCTTAGCGGGCGGGCTGCTCTCTGCTCACACTCCTCGCGTGTAACCCGGGGATGGTAACGGGACCTGCCTCACGGGGTCGTCAGGAGGACGAGGAGGCAGCGTGTGAATCCCTCACAGCACACCCCGTGCTCATGCTCATCTGTGGGGTGGGCTTTCTCTGATCTTCCTCTTCCGTCCACCGCTGGTCCTTTCCTGTACCAACGCCAGACCCTGGTGACCACAGTGGCCTCGGTGTCCCTTAGCATCTAGAAGCCGCGAGTCAGGAGAGAGGGCTGTGGGCAGAGCTGCGGGTCACCCCGTGGCACCTGCACGGCCCGACCTTCTCTGCGCCCCTGCAGCCCCCGACTCCCAGCACCAAAGCACAGGGCAGGGGTGGGGGGTCTGGCTCATCACCGTCCACATCCCAGGTGACACACAGTGGGTCCTCTTCTGGCTGGACCAGTGGAGTCGGACCTCATGCTCACAGGGCCGTGGGGAGCACATCATCCAGCCCTGCATTCACGGAGAGCAGACGAGGCTCGCTGCAGAGAGAAGTGGTGCTCCAGCCAGGCCGGTTGGGGGTGCGGCCCGCCGGGGTGCAGTGCACCGTCCCTGCTGGAAACAGACACCAGGCTCGAGGAGAACACAGACCCTCGGGACACGAAGGAGACACAAAGCGCCTCGGCTGGAAATGAGCTGTGAGCAAGAGCCGCGAGTGGGGACCATCGCCCCAGGAACTGAGTGGAGCATGGCGCTCACAGCGAAGCCGGTTGCTGGGCGTTTTAGTTAATGCAGCCTTGCATCGCTGAGCCGTGAGCCCCGAGTTCAGATCCTGTTCTCCTCTGTGGGTGTGGTCATTGCGTGCCAGCCTTTTAGGAGGTTGTGGTGCAGACTTTAGTCTTGCCTTCCTGTTTCTCATTTGTGAGTCCCCGTCGGGTGAGCTAGGCTTTGCTCAGTGTCCTCTCTCTCTTCCACGTAAACAGAAGGTGAGCCGCAGGACGCAGAGGTGCAGGTGCCGAAGGCAGAGCACGGGCTCCTCGTGAGGCCAGAAGACGCTGACCCTGGGGCAGGGCTGTCCCCCTGCTCCTCAGAAACGGGACCCCTGGACGGTGAAGGCACAGCTCTCCCGGCCTGGCCTGGCGTTTCTTTCTCCTCCTGCCCACTCCCTGTCCACTGTGTGTCGCTCTCCTCCATGCGGCACGACCAGGCAAAACTGCCGACTGCCGCCAGCGAGTAAGAGTCAGGGAGCCGTGTGCGGAGACGGCAGTGAGGGGCGCCCCCAGAGGCCTCTCCGTCTGTGCGGGAGCCGGGGCGGGGGCTGGGGAAAGCAGGGGGGACGCCACGGGGAGGGCAGAGCCATCAGCTGCGGACATATCCCATGAGTGACTGTCCCTCCTAATGCAGTTAGAAGCCTTTCTAAGCCACCTGCCGGGTGGACCCACACGTGTCACCACGCCCCAGGCCTGGGCTGCCTCCTCATGGCGAGGAGCTCATCGCTGCATCCGGCCAGCCTCCTGGGGTGTCTTTACCTCAGCGGAGCGGGCCACGCTGACAGGGCCATGGGACGGCAGTCTTCTGTCCCCTGAGGTGTGTGCTCCCCAAGTCTCTGCTCCACCCACCGTCCCCCGACAAGATCCGGGGAAGCAGAGTAGCTAAGGGGCCACCGCGTTCCTACACCCACCTAGCATCTCCTCGCAAGGCTTAGTCCTCAACGCTGGTTCAGAGCATCTAAAAATCCTCTAAATAGGATTGATCTTATCATTGTCTTAGATCTGTTTGGCGTGAGGCAAACTGTTTAGTCATATATCCGAATTCTGTGTTGGCAATGGAAACAGAGGCCTTAAGAAGCCTAGTGAAAAAATTAGAAAAAGATCTTACATTTAAATTTCCAAGGAACTGTTAAGTTATAGCAGAAAACAAATTTCCTCCCTACATTTTACACAAAAATAATCCCAAATCTATTAAAGAGTTAAGTGTTAAAAAAAAATATCAATCCATGAAAATGATAACAAAGAGGAATGGCCATCTGACGTCCGGGCGGGGATCTGTCTCATAAAAACAGTGGAGAAATTACACAGGGAAGAGGGAGAGATTGACTTACAAATGTCCCACAGACCGGCCATCCGAGAGATTGTAACGTTAAAAGGCCAGCAAAGCACGTAGAGGTTGCGTGGGGCAAACGGGAGGAGGGCCAGGAGCCTCTGTAAATGCAAGAGCCCTGAGTGATCATGGAGACAGAGCTAACAGTTGGGGAGACACGTCCACACTCACACGTGGTGACAGCAACTCCGCAGGTGTGCATGGCTCCTCCCCAGGTGCCGGGAAACAGGCTGTGTTCACACGGGGCACAGTTTCGTCAGTGTTGACACGGCGTCCCCGACTGTCCGTGTCCGGGGACCCGCAGGGCAGTGGTTCCAGAGAGCGGTGCCCCTCGGCCGCGAGACCACGTGCGGGGGCCCATCGCTCCCAGGTCTGCGGATTCTGTCCAGCCGAGCAGAGCCCACGCTCCGCCCTCCCTGACGCCTCTCCCGGCCCCGCTGCTCGCTCTCGGGCCAGAGCCCGGGATGGCGGGAAAGGCCTGGACCGGTGGTTCGGCCACGTGACAC